TGCGTGTGGGGACAGAGTGCGCGTTGGGGACAGAGTGCGCGTTGGGGCATGGAGTGCGTGTGGGGACAGAGTGCGCGTTGGAGACAGAGTGCGCGTTGGGGCATGGAGTGCGTGTGGGGACAGAGTGCGCGTTGGGGCATGGAGTGCGTGTGGGGACAGAGTGCGCCTTGGGGATAGTGTACGTGTTGGGGACAGTGTGTGTGTTGGGGATAGTGTACATGTTGGGGACAGTGTGTGTGTTGGGGATAGTGTACGTGTTGGGGACAGTGTGTATGTTGGGGATAGTGTACGTGTTGGGGACAGTGTGTGTGTTGGGGAATAGTGTGCGTGTTGGGGACAGTGTGTGTGTTGGGGAATAGTGTACGTGTTGGGGACAGTGTGTGTGTTGGGGACAGTGTGTGTGTTGGGGACAGTGTATGTGTTGGGGATAGTGTACATGTTGGGGAGAGTGTGTGTTTTGTGGGTAGTGTACGTGTTGGGGACAGTGTGTGTTTTGTGGACAGTGTGTGTGTTGGGGACAGTGTGTGTGTTGGGGATAGTGTACGTGTTGGGGACAGAGTGCGCGTTGGGGACAGTGTGTGCGTCTTGGACAGAGTGCGCGTTGGAGACAGAGTGCGCGTTGGGGCATGGAGTGCGTGTGGGGACAGAGTGCGCGTTGGGGCATGGAGTGCGTGTGGGGACAGAGTGCGCGTTGGGGCATGGAGTGCGTGTGGGGACAGAGTGCGCGTTGGGGCATGGAGTGCGTGTGGGGACAGAGTGCGCGTTGGGGCATGGAGTGCGTGTGGGGACAGAGTGCGCGTTGGGGCATGGAGTGCGTGTGGGGACAGAGTGCGCGTTGGGGCATGGAGTGCGTGTGGGGACAGAGTGCGCGTTGGGGCATGGAGTGCGTGTGGGGACAGAGTGCGCGTTGGGGCATGGAGTGCGTGTGGGGACAGAGTGCGCGTTGGGGCATGGAGTGCGTGTGGGGACAGAGTGCGCGTTGGGGCATGGAGTGCGTGTGGGGACAGAGTGTGCCTTGGGGATAGTGTACGTGTTGGGGACAGTGTGTGTGTTGGGGATAGTGTACGTGTTGGGGACAGAGTGCGCGTTGGGGACAGTGTGTGCGTCTTGGGGAAGCATGTTGATGAGAGGTCAAGACTGGGGTGTTGGGGTGGAGGCCCCTTGAGGCTGTGCCCCAGGCCTGAGCTGTGGACCTGCCTGCCTCCCCCTGGGTCCAGTCTCCAGGATACAGCTTTGCCCCCGGAAAGCTCGGAGCCTCAGGCCTGCGCATCTTATCACTAATACTCCACCCCTAATATCTCACCACTAATATCAGCAGTTTCATTTTCCCCAGGAAGGCCCTGTTGCAGCACTGGGGCAGAAATTAAACACTGAACACAGAAGACAGAATCAAGGCCCTGCAGGGCTGGGGGTCGGGCACATTCTGCCCAGAAGCCGCCTGGAGGCCAAATGAGCTGCACCTGGCCAGAGTGGCCCTCAGGCTGCTGAAGGACCTGCTGACCTGACACAGCCCAGCCCCAGCAGGAGACCTGCCCCTCGCCACCTTGGCCGTCTGGCCAGCACAGAGGCCCCTGCCAGGCTCCCCTGAGCCACCTGTGGGTCGGGACCGCCCCTCCCACCCTCCACGCCACCCACACGGCCCCGCTTCGCTGAGACTCAGGAGTGGCCTTTGTTCATAAACTAAATCTTCTCGCAGACACCGCCTTTGATGCTCTTTTTCCACCGTTTCGGTGTCTTTAATGTTTTCCCTTCACAGCCCAGCCCCGGGTCTCTACGGGCTGAGGCGCAGCGCCAGCTGCCAGGCGGTTTCTAGCTTTGTCTCGGTTACTTGAAGCGGGTGAGACCTACGCATCTCATCACTAATATCAGCAGTTTCATTTTTCCTGTTTTCCATTCACTGTAATAAAACGCTCAGAGCAGAACGCAGTGAAATTACCAAACCACTTCACAAGCCACCGAGGCCGCAGAGCCAGGCCGGGCGCCTGGACGCCCCAGGACCACCCCCACCGCAACCCGAGCCAGCTGGGGGGCTGGGCAAGGGGTGTCAGAAAGTCAGGCCTGGAAGGGGAGGTCTGCCTCACAGGCGAGGCCCCCACCACCTGGAGGCTGAGGGTGGAAAGATCTGGAAACTCTGCTGCCCAGAGCCAGGCATGGGGCCTGGCCAGAGGCAAGGAAGGGATCGGCCCCAGACAGACGACCTTCAGCAGGGCCACCTGTCTCACCATGCTCCTCACCGCCTGCCCCTGCCTGGTGGGTCTGGCTGGGGGACGGGGGACAGGGCCTTGTCCCAAGCAGAGGATGGAGGGCTGGGTGTGCGGCCCAGGAGGCCACCAGGGAGCTCAGAGGGGCTCAGGCACCTGCGAGACAGAGTGGGACTGGAGCCAAACCCACCCCTCACTGCAGCCCCAGGAACCTGAGCCCAGAGAGGGCGACCCACCTTCCCAAGGGACAAGAGGCCAGGCCTGGGAGGGGACCTCCATCCCCCAGCCTTGGGCACTGAGGGGCAGCTCAGGTGGGAAATGGAAAGAGGCCACAGCAAGTAAGCAAAGAGACAAAAACTGCCCAAGAAAGGGGGCGTGAGATGGAGAGACCCCCATAGCGGGGCAGAGGCAGCTGGGCCCCCTTTGTCCCTGTCTCTGTCCCACCCTACACCCCGTTCCGTCCCTCCGTCTGCCACCTGCACCCTGTCCCCGTCAGCCCCTCCTGTCTCTTCCCGCCCACAGGGAGGTGGAGGAAGAGGGGGCGGGAGGAGGAGCAGGCCTCCTCCCCGCCATCTGGCCTGGGACAGTTTCCTTTCCGCTGCCACCTCTGCCTGAGCAGCCGAGGAGGAGGAGGTTGGCGGGCCGGGCGCGGGCTGGCACTCTGGGCATGCGGATCCCACAAGTGCCCTGGCCGCTGGTCTGGGCCGTGCTGCAGCTGGGCTGGCGGCCAGGATGGCTCCTAGGTAGGTGGGGCCGGGTCAGGCGACTCAGAATCAGAGCTCTGGAAGGACGTCTCCCCCTCTGTCCCTGGCGGGTGGGGGACACCGCGGTGGGGCCAGGACCTTGGCCAGCCCAGCACGGCCATGCCCGGCGCTGTGTGGCTCTGGGCAGGCGAAGTGTCCTCTCTGGGCTCCGGCTCTTCCCCTGGGGCCAGCCCTCTCCTTGCTCATGGGCAGGCAGGACCTCTGTCCTGCTCCCATGGTACTCGGCGTCCAGGTGGACGGTCTGTAGGATGATGGGTCCCACGGGCACCTCTGCCACACCTCGGCTCCCCTGTCCTCGCTCGTATTGCCCTGAGGATGGGACCAGCCCCACACGGGGACTGACCTTGGTTTTGCGAGGTCGCAGCTTAGGGAACTGATTTTTCTAATCTTATCAAGAGTAACCATTCGAGTAAAGGCTGTTCATCTGTTGCCCCAACATTCCCTGGTGGACCCGGGCTCTGTACCTTGCCAGGGGTCCCTGGATGGGATTCCAGGTGCCCAGTGTCTGGGTTAATAGCTTAGAGCATCCACGACGGGCTCTGGGGAGGGGTGGGATGCTGAGATGTGGCAGCCCTGGCCCCTGAGCGCCTGTGCCATGGTCCACGGGGAGCCCTCGGTCCAACACTCCAGGGTCAAGGGGAGGGTCTCCTGCTCCAGGCTGCCCGTGCCCCTCAGCCTCTGTGCAGGGCCAGCCTGCATGTGGGGACACTGAGGTCTTGCTCCGGGAGCAGGGACGCTCCTCTGGACCCTGCTGGGCTCAGGGGTGTGCTGGCCAATGGAAGGACCAACACGAGGAGACACCCTGGGGCTGCCCTGCACCCCTTTCAGGAAGTCCATCCTGGGGTCCCTGTCACGGAAGCCCCTCATTCTCCTCCAGCCCCAGCCCCTTCGCTGTTGCTGGCTGCTGGGGGCTCCCACCTCGGCGTGGTGGTGGTGCCCCTCGCCCGGGGACCCTGCCTCTTTTTTCCTTCCTAATTTACTCACTGCCTGCGTTAGCCTGGTCGTTCCCGTGGGTGACACCCCCTTTACGCCTATGTGTTACTTGTGTTTTGTGAGCTGTCCCCGACCCCACGCTTGCTGGCCCCGTCCTGGAGCTCTGAGGTGGGACAGGCCTGAGGTCAGGTCAGGGCTGCACGTGGGGGGCTTGTGGCCTCTGCCACGCCGCTTCCCCACCCGCCCTCTCCTCACCTGCACTCCGGGGGTCATGACACCTGCCCGATAGTATCATGAGAATTAAGTCCGATCCTTTAGGAAAACCATCCAGCACAGCCCGTGACACATTGTTCAAAGTCAGATTTGTTTATTTTTTTCAACCTACAGTTTTGAAAAATATCATGCAGAAAAGTTAAAAAATCCAGCAGTGAACGTCCTCCACCTAGAACGGGTGATGGGCAATATTGGCACGCTTCCTGACGGTATTTGTTGGCTGGGGCTACTGTCACAAAGGGTCACAGACCAGGGGCCTCAGCAACAGAAGTGTGCTGTCTCGCGGTCCTGGAGGCCACAAGTCCGAGATCAAGAATCGGTAGGGTCAGTTCCGTCTGAAGATCTGAGAGCAGATCTGCCCCAGCATCTCCCCGGGCTTCTGGTGGCTGCTGGCGGTCTCTAGCGGTCTTTGATCCTACTCCAGCCTCTGCCTCTATCTTCACATGTGTGAGTCCAAATTTCCCCTCTTTACAAAGACGCCAGTCATGATAGATTAGGACTGACCCTACTCCAGTGTGACCCGTCTTAACTAATTCCACCTTCAATGACCCTATGCCTAATAAGGCCACCTGCTCCTCAGAAGAGAAGGGGGTTAGGACTTGGGGTCATGACTCCAACATATGAACTCGTGGGACACAACTCCCATATCAACACACATTCCTGTGACTTTTTGAAGCACGTGAGTGTTTCTTGAAGACGTTAGAAGACACGTCATTGCTCATGCCCCAGCCAGGTCTTGCAGGGACAGACTTTCTCCTGCTCACAGCACACGCTCCCTGGCAGTCTCCACAGGGAGCCTGGCCGAGGGCCACTTGCTCCTGTCGGGCATTGTGTGTGTGCAGGTACCTCTGGTCTGGAGCAGGCATCGCCTCTCTGTCTTGAAGAGTCCCAGAGACGGGCTGGGCCACTGTCTGAGGTGTCTGCCTTTGCTCACGGGGATGTTGGGCTTTGTCTCTTCGCCAGGAGAATCATACGCAGTGCTGGTCCTTCTCAGGGATGCTGTCAAGGGCCTCCGTGATGAGTGTGTGTGGTCAAGGCACCCTCCCCCTTTGTTATCAATCAGGGACCGTGGGGGTCGCTGGGGACCCCGGCTGTCCACTGGGCCATGCTTTTGGCCCCCCAGATGTGTCTTATCTAAATAAGGGGCTGGGTGGTGGTTGCAAAATGCGTTGTTTGTGAGTTCGCCTCTGAGCCAACGCCAGATCTCTCTGGGAGCCAGAGCCCCTGCCTCGGGCCCCCAAGACTCACGGCTGTTCCACGGCCACAGAAGTGTCTCAAATATAACTTTACCCAGGAATCAGCCAGTGGTCATTTCTGAATATGTACCAAGGGCTTCCTGGAGGAGGTGGCCTGGAGGACTGAGGTGAGGTGGCCCTTGGGTGGGAGCTGCCGGGTGGGCTGCGTGGGGGCTGGGCAGGTTGGGGAGACAGCAGAGGCCAGAATGTATGCCCTCGGCACCCGCTCTGGGTCTCCCTGGGAGCAGGAGCTGTGGGACAGGCTGGGGAGGGGGCCATGAGCTCGTCACACCATGCTCCAGCCCCACTCCCACCCAGGCGGTTGGTGGAGGAAGGCAGAGGAGCCCAGCGAGACTCTCGTGGGCAGATTCCAAAACAGGGTCTCCAGTGAGTCCCAGGAGTCCAGGGTCTTGGCTGGAGGCCACTGGGTGAGGGACCATGAGACTCAAATAGAAAAAGTCCTGGAGGCCCTCTCGTCATGCACATGCTCAAGGAGGCAGGAGATCCCTCTATCAATTTTTGCAAACAGACTACATTTAAATTCTTAATTGCACAGCAATGTGACAACAGCGTCACAGGTGTTCACAGTGTGGGAGCAGGGCAGCCACGTCTACCACACGTGGAAGTGAGCACTACTATCGTCGTGGCAGGTACACTCGAGGGACCGTGGACGGCACCGTCTCTCACCTGCGTACCTGCAGCATGGGAGTTGGAGACCCAGGGGTGCCACCCGGGGCCTCAGCCACCACAGGGTCCCCACCGCATTTCCAGACATGGAGAACGGGGCCGTGCCGGACCTTCTGTGTGCTGTGTCCACCCAGTAAGGCCTCCAGCCCAGGGGCCCACCCTCCCTTCCCCAGAGCTTCTCTAGGGACCCCACTCCTGGGAACCCATCTGCTTCCATCTGGGTGGGGTGTCCTCCTGGTCGTCCTGCTGGAGCCCCTGACAGTCAGACCCCTTTGTGTTCAAGGCCAGCTCCAGAGCAGTGAGATGCTAGGTCCAACCCCACACACACAGGAATCTCTGGGACACTTCCCTCGACCTGCGTCTTGGTGATGCCCAGCAGCTAAGGGGTGGTCTCTGCCAGAGGGCTTCACCTCAGTGGTCCCACAGCTGGTGTGTCTAGCCCCTGCCCCCGCCACCACTGGACATGCCACAAGGACATTGCCCCCAATGGTGGGGGTAGGAGTGTGCCTGGTCAGGGGGTTCTGGAAGCAGCAAGGAGGCTGTGGGGCACAGAGACAGCAGGAACCACCCTGGGCAAGACCACAAGGGCCACCAGGAGGGACCAGGAGCCACAGGGGCCAGCCAAGACCAGGCAGGTGGCTGTGTAGGGACCTAGCCAGAGGGGCTGGGCCAGGGCAGACACCCATCGGTGTACCAGGGCCCAGGCAGCCAAGGGTCCCTCCTCTCAAGTTCAGATTTTGTAAGAGGGATGACAGAGACAACAAGCAGATAAGTGACTCAAACTGTCACACATTCAGTGACAGTTTGAGGACAGATGAGGACCAGACCAAAGGAAGGCAGAGCGCAGGCAGGGCCCAAGGTCCATCACCCACATCCACGCAGGGGCAGCCATGAGAGTGGGCAGGCAGCTCCCCAGGGCGTGCTCCAGGCAGGGGTGTGGTGGGGTGGGATCCCGCCAGGCAGGACAGCAGGTGGTGGCCCGCAGCCCACAGGTGCCCCTGCACAGGAGGGCCTGAGCAGGAAGGGGAAGGGGCTCCCCAGCCTGGTGCCCTGGGGGCTTTTCTGGTCACCCTAGCTGTGGGAGGGTGTGGCACTCCATTGGGAGGCTTTGGTGGGCTGGGCCTGGGTATGGCAGTGGATTTGGGAGCAGCAATGGGGGGCGATGCCAATGCAGACTGAATATCACAGGGGTTCCTGTGAGGACTGTGGATGGAAAAGCTGCAGGTGTGTCCCGTGGGCTCGACGGGGGGAGCGTGAGAGGGTGTGTGTAAGTGCATGTGAGTGCATTGTGCATGTGAGTGCATGTGAGTGCATGTGTGCATGTGAGTGCATGTGTGCGTGTGAGTGCATGTGTGCGTGTGAGTGCATGTGTGCATGTGAGTGCATGTGTGCGTGTGAGTGCATGTGTGCATGTGTGCGTGTGAGTGCATGTGTGCGTGTGAGTGCATGTGTGCATGTGTGCGTGTGAGTGCATGTGTGCATGTGAGTGCATGTGTGCATGTGAGTGCATGTGTGGGAGCGCCCCTGAGCATGGCAGTGAGGCTGGACCCTCAGAGCCCCTGCACTGTTGTGGGAGGCCCGGCCCCACAGTCTTAATTTCCAGCAAGCGTTGTCTGGGAAGCCCAGGGTCATGGGGGCCTCCGCTGGTCTCTGAGGGCTCCCGTCTGTGAACCCCACTCCCTGGGGTCTTGCTGGACAAGGTGGACGACCCGCTGCCCACTGACCAGGGCAGTAATGCCCACGCTGGGGTCCCTGTGGGCCAGGGCTTGGCTCTCAGCTCTGAACTTGTCCAGAAATGGGGGTAAAAGCTGGACCCCGAGTCTGCCAAAGGGCCCACGCCCCCCAGAGCTGAGTCTCCATGGGAATCCCCCCACCCAGCCCAGCACCCCAGTTACCCTCCCCCTCAACTGAAGCCATGTAGACAGGACCCGGCCAGACCACCCAGGGGTCAGGGACGTGGAATGGGCAGAGCTGGGACTGTGTGGGGTGAGGCCTGCAGGCGACCCCAGCACAGCCCTCTCGGGGGACTGGCAACCTGGAGTCCAGGAGGAAAGGGGACAAAGACCCTTAGGAGAAGAAACCAGGGACCCAGCCAGAGCCCAAACGCTGGGCAGAAGCCCTCGGGCCTGGGTCTCAGTAGAGCTGAAAGGAAAGGTCCCAGCATGGAGGCGAGTGCAGTCCCCGCGCGTGCACGGAGACGCCACCAGGCCGGGCACTGCTTGGGGCATCCAGCACCGGGCGGGCTTCCCAGAGCCTCCATCCGAGGGGCGCGGGCAGGTGGCAGGGGTGGGGTGGGCTGGGCTGCCCCGCACCCCTCGTCACCTCCGCCTTGCTCTGTCCCTCCCTCAGGCCTCCCAGACGGGCCTGGGAGCCCCCTCACCTTCTGCCCGGCCCGGCTGGCCGTGCCCGAGGGGGACAATGCCACCTTCACCTGCAGCTTCCACAACACGTCCGAGCACCTGGTGCTCAACTGGTACCGCATCAGCCCCGGCAACCAGACAGACAAGCTGGCCACCTTCCCCGAGGACCACCGCCTGCCCCACCGGGACGGCCGCTTCCGTGTCACGCCACTGCCCAACGGGCGCGACTTCCACATGAGCATCCTCGCCGCCCAGCGCAACGACAGCGGCATCTACTTCTGTGGGGCCATCCCCAAGGCGCAGATCACAGAGAGCCCCCGCGCGGAGCTCATGGTGACAGGTGTGGGCCTCGGAGACCTAAGGGCAGGGGGAAGCTGGCAGGACCCTCCTACACAGGCACAGGAGCCCCCAGAGGGCACAGGGCACAGGGACCTGCCAGACTCCAGTACAGGGCTCTGTCCAGCAACCAGGGTCCTGATGGCCCACGCCCCCCACCCCTCTCTTTGAAGCACCCTCCCCTGTCTTGGGGCAGGAGAGAGCCTGGAGGAGGGGCCAGGTGGTGGGCACTGCCCATGCCATGGCTGTCCTGGGCAGCTCTTCAAGGAGTGCAGGCTGGACAATAACTCATCACTGCCGGCCTGGGGTCCAGGCCCACCAGGCTTGGAAGAGGACAGGGTGGGCCCCCTAAGGATGTGCAGGACACTCCGTGGATTTCTCTGAGACCCCCATCCCTGACCTGTGTCCCCGACCCCATCACCAACCCCTATCCCTGAAGCCTATGTCCTTAAACCCTGTCCCTGACCCCTGTCCCTGAACCCTGACCCTGACCCCTGACCCTGACTCCTTCCGTTGTGCCCCTCCAGAGAGAGCTGTAGAACCCACAGCACAGCCCAGCCCCTCGCCCGGGCCAGCTGGCAAGTTCCAAGGCCTGGTGGTTGGCATCTCGAGTGTCCTGGTGGGCGTCCTGGTGTTGCTGTTGCTGGCCTGGGTCCTGGCCACCTGCTCCAGGACCACAAGAGGTAACACCTGTCACAGCCCTCCAGAGCCGCCCCGTCCGCTTCAGTAGCAGCGTGCGGGCCACAGACAGCCGTGCGGGCCAGATGGACCCCGTCCTGTCCCCTCCCTGCCTGCACTAGCCCTTCCCTTCCCCTCCTCCAGCCTCCCTCCCCCCACCCCAGGGAAAAGCTGGGCTGGGGTCTCCCACCACGCCCTGAGGAAACCCCAACCACATCCCCTTCCCTGTGCCTGCTCTTGGGAGGGCTCTGGGGGGCCTGGAGAGGGGGAAGCACAAGCAGCCACACGCCGCACACCCACTAGGGAGAGCGGCCGAGCCAGCTGCTCGGGCCACCCCAAGCCTCAGGCATCCTGTGCCCGTTGCCAAGGGGCTTTGCCAGCACCCAGGTGTCAGGCTCCTGGTGTCAGCCACAGGCCAGGAGAGGGTGGGGAGTGACACCCACACCCTGAACACGTGAGGACCTGTGGACACCCACCCCACACACACCCTGACCCACACCCTGACCAGAGGGCCTCTGGACACCCACCCCACACACACCCTGACCCACACCCTGACCAGAGGGCCTCTGGACACCCACCCACACATGCTGACCACAGGAGGGCCTGTGGACACCCACCCCACACATGCTGACCACAGGAGGGCCTGTGGACACCCACCCCACACATGCTGACCACAGGAGGGCCTGTGGACACCCACCCACACACCCTGACCAATGGACCCCCTAAGGGGGACTCACGGGGGACATGACCTCCAACTGCTTCTAGGGCATCCTGGAGCATGGACTAGACCCCCAGGTGTCCAGGCGTCTGATTTTCCCGAGAACAGCTGGGGTAGGGCTGTGCTCATAGGCGGCTCTTAACTTGCCGTGCCCAGACCCCTGTGGGAGTGCATGTCCTTGGCGTTCCTCCTCGTCCTCCTTGTGGTTTGGGACACACTTGTGGCCCGCCCTGCTGGCCATGGGTGGAGACACAGGCAGCTTGTCTGTGGGGCCTTTCCTGGGAGGAGCCGGGGGACGGCGTGGGGCCCTTCCCCAGAGCTGCACAGTCTCCCCCAGAGCCCGAACACTCAGGATGGGCCCATGAAGTCCCTTGGGGCAGGACCGCCCCCGGGAGGACTGTTCTGTGTCTGCCCCTTGACTCAAAGTGTGCTCCTCTGCAGCGTCCAGAGGAGCCAGACCTGAGGACCAGTCCCTGGTAAGTCTCAATGTCTTTTCTTCGGGATCACACTCTGCCTTCCTGGGTGGGGTCCAGGCAGAGAGACTGGCAGGGCCTGCAGGGCTACAACCTGGGGACTCATGTCCACCCTCAGACTCAAGCTTCCAACCAGGGCCCCGCCTCCCTGGTGCCCCAGGCAATGTGACCTCAATTCCCAAAGCCATGTCCTGGTCCCAGGCCCACCTGCCATCCCCCAGGGCACATGGCCAACAGCTGTGCACGCCTGTGAGCCATGGTGTGGGCACAGTCATTGCTCACCTAACACTGGACAGGGGACAGCTTGAAAAGTTGCATTTGTTATCCTAAATCTGCAAGAACGCCAGGGATGTTCTGGAGGGGGAAACTGAGCCAGAGAGGAGGGGCTGCTTCCCCGGGTCACACAGCGAGGCGGTGGGGGGACGGCCATCGGGCCTGCTCTTCAGTGCCCGGGCTGCACCTACTCTAAGTAAGAGGCCCCAGACTCGGCGATGGGCTCAGCGCTGTCACGGTCCAGGATGTAGGGTGCAGGCCGCCTTCCTGGCTGAGCCGTGCGGTAGGGCCTGTGCCACCACCCAGAGAGTGGCTGACCCCTTCTTTCCTCTCCGCCTAAAGAAGGAGGACCCCTCCGTCGTGCCAGTGTTCACCGTGGACTACGGGGAACTGGACTTCCAGTGGCGAGAGAAGACCCCGGAACCCCCTGTCCCCTGTCTCCCTGAGCAGACCGAATACGCCACCATAATCTTCCCCAATGGCCTCGACACCTCATATCTGGGCCGCAGGGGCTCAGCCGATGGCCCTCGGGGTCCCCGGCCTCTGAGGCCTGAGGATGGACACTGCTCTTGGCCCCTCTGACTGGTTCCTCAGCCACTGGAGTCCTGCAGACCTCCCACCAAGAGCTCCAGAGAAGCACGCAGGCTGCACAGCAAAGGGCGTCACCCAAGGGCTGAGCCATGTTGGGGGACTGCCGGGCACCGCCTGTGGCAGGACTCCCCTCTAAGTGCTCACTGTGAGCCGGAGCAGCAGACACTACTAGCCTCCTACGGCCACAGCTCTAGGCCTTGTCGGGCAGAGCTGGCCCGAGCCGCTCTCCTTAATTGCTGCTGCTGGGCCCCCTGCCACCTCCCAGGGATGGGGCCTTTGTTGGAGGCTGTGCCCTGGAGCAGCTGGTAAGGCCTGCCTAGTGAGGAAATCCAGGCACGTGCTGGACAAAGGGCCTGAGGTTGCCTTGAGGGGCCCGAGGGCAGGAAGTGCATGGGGCTGGGGGGTCCTCCAGGAGCCACATCCCCTAGGCCTGGAGATGCTTCAGCAGAGCCAGAAGAGGTCCCGGCTGCAGTGGACAGCATGGAGGCCCGGGAGCCCCCAGCCCACCCTCTGCAGGAGACCCCCGTCCTCACAAATACCCAGGCAGTGCCTCAGGCCTTTCTACAACAGGGAAACTGAGGCCACAAGGGGAACAGGCCGAGCTGGAGCTCCAGCCCACCTCCCCGACACGCCTCCCTCCCTGCTCGGGAGCCCCCCGCACTGTGCAGCAGGGGACCCCAGGTGAGGGAGGGGCCCAGGATCCCACCCGCAGGAGGGGTGGGGGCTGACATTCGCCCTTCCCCACTGTGCGTGCTGAGCACTGTGCACGCTAGCTGGGTCGGAGGCAGTGGTGGGGCTGCCCATTTGTCACTGGGGAGTGAAAATCTCCTGGTGCCCACTCATGGTGTTATTCAAAGGGGTCCTGCCAGGGGTCAGACAAGGTGCTGAAGGCGCCCTCAGCCAGGCACCCCACGGTGAGGCCTGGCCACCCCTTGCCTATGCACACCCTGCACTTCTGCGGCCTGGGACAGAATCCAGGCTGGACAGTGGCACCTGGGAGGTCGGGACGTAGGAGCCCTTTCTCTCTGGTTCTCTTATTATTATTAAATGGTGACGAAAGCTCCAGGAGATCTGTCCTGTTCCTGTGGTTGGGGGTGCAGGGAGGCCAGGCTGAGCTGAGGACAGAGGATGGCCTGGGCCGGGTCCTTGCCCTCACTGTCCCAAAACTCACAGGCTGTCCTCACCCGCATCTCCATGAACTCTGATCCCCCCAGGCTCACACACATAGCCCCGCCTGAGCTGTAAAATACCTCCCCCCCAGGCCACCTCGGCCCAGTACAGGGGCTCCCGAGTGTTGTGCCTGTGTCTGCCCTGCTGGTCCCCCACGTCCCCCACCCTTGGGAGTCCCTCAGGCAGGGTTGGCACCGGGGGCCATCGCGGTGGGCCAGGTGGGCTGTACCAGGCTATGAGTGATAGGGCCAAGGCACCGCAGGCAGAGACACAACATCTGTGGGGGTCCCCCCTAATGCACATGGGGGGCTGTACCTAGAGAGACAGCCTAGGTGGGGGACACACCTGCTCCAAGCCCCATCCCCATGCTGGGGTGTTTGGCCGTTGACAACAATGACGAACACTCCCCCCCCAGCCCCGCACCCCTCCCTAGCCCTTGAGCTCTGCTGCCACCCCAGGGTCTGCGTCTGTGTGAGGCGAGCCGTGGAAGCGCCACGTCCAGCACGAGGCAGGGAAGCCTCGTTGCTCTGAGGACACCAGACAATATCAAACATCCAGGGACACTGCCCAGGGCTGGCAGATGACATGGGCTCGCGTGCCTGGAAAACCTGGCGGGTCCCGTGGAAAAGCTATGACAGGCAATGAGGAAACCCAGCCGAGCGGCAGATGTGAGAGGAACACCAGAAACAGACGGTTTTCATGCGTTGAGACAGTAACCAGGTAGAAGACAGGTGCTGAGGATATTCCGTTGACAGCAGCAACGAGAAAGATCAAATGCTTAAGGCACGAAATGAACACAAGTGTGGGGGACCTGCCGGGGAAGCCGGACCCGCACGTGGTCGGCGGAGAGAGCACGCAGGGCCCTCGTTAGACGACTCAGCACCGCAGACCTGGCGCTTCTTCCTGCTTCGTGGACACATTTAACGTCAACCCAAGACAAACCGACACTTCTGGAACTGTAACGCTCGCAGGGGAAAAAGTAAACAAGCAACAGCCAAGAAAGCCGTGAGAAGAAAGTGAAAGAAAAGCAGGTGTGGGAGGCAGGGCAGCTCGCTGTGAGGAGCAGGGGTTGGCGTCCGACACGGGGAGACGGGGCAGGGGATACGACTTCTCAGCAAGTGGAGCGGGGCGGGGTGGCCTTTTGGGGAAGTGTCCAGTCAGACCACAGCACACGCTGCATTTGCAGAAATCCCAATACAGGAGGGAGGGGAGCTCAAAGAACCCTGTGAGAAGCCCACGACTTCTCAGCAAGTGGAGCGGGGCGGGGTGGCCTTTTGGGGAAGTGTCCAGTCAGACCACAGCACATGCTGCATTTGCAGAAATCCCAATACAGGAGGGAGGGGAGCTCAAAGAACCCTGTGAGAAGCCAAGAAAGCAGGTGCCCTCCTCGCAGGGACGCGGGGGCCGCCCCACCTGCAAAAGAGCGTGCTGCGGAGCGACTGGACGGGGGGTCCGCACGACCCTCTCCTAAACTGGAAAGCAGGCAAATTCAGCATGGCAGAAAAAGCATCCTAAACCCACAGGGGAGATGTCTGCACATCACTCAAACGGCTGACATCAACTACATAAAAACCGAAAAGTCTGGAAAAAGCAAGGTCAGAAGTACAAGAGAAACGTGAACAACAGGAGATGCGAGTGAACAGTTCACCAGAAATACATGTGTGCATACATGTGTGTATGTGTGTATACAATATACATGTGTGTAAAGCCACGTGTGTACACGTGTGCATGCATGTGTCATGCACATATACAGTGTACGCATGTGTGTGCACACATGTGTGTACATGTGTGTGTGCCTGCACAATATATGCGTGTGTACATGTGGTGTACATGTGTGTGCATGTGTGCATGCAGCATGCACGTGTGTGTGCGTGTGTGTGCGTACATATATGTGTGCGTACATATGGTGTACATGTGTGTGCATACAGCATACACGTGTGTGTGCACGCATGTGTGTGCATACATATATGTGTGCCTATACAATATATGTGTGCGTACATATGGTGTACATGTGTGTGCATGTGTGCATGCAGCATGCACGTGTGTGTGTGCGTGTGTGTGCGTACATATATGTGTGCGTACATATGGTGTACATGTGTGTGCATACAGCATACACGTGTGTGTGCGCGCATGTGTGTGCATACATATATGTGTGCCTATACAATATATGTGTGCGTACATATGGTGTACATGTGTGTGCATGTGTGCATACAGCATACACGTGTATGTGCGTGTATGTGTGCATACATATATGTGTGCCTATACAATATATGTGTGCGTACATATGGTGTACATGTGTGTGCATGTGTGCATACAGCATACACGTGTATGTGCGTGCATGTGTGCATACATATATGTGTGCCTATACAATATGTGTGTGTACATGTGTGTGCATGTGTGCATACAGCATACACGTGTATGTGCGTGCATGTGTGTGCATACATATGTGTGCCTATACAATATATGTGTGTACATATGGTGTGCATGTGTGTGCATGTGTACATACAGCATACACGTGTGTGTGTGCATGTGTGTGCATACATATATGTGTGCCTATACAGTATATGCGTGTGTACATGTGGTGTGTGTGTGCATGTGTGCATACAGCATACACGTGTGTGCGCGCACATGTGTGTGTGTATACAATGTATGCGTGCGTGTCTGTATAAACATACGTGAGTGTGCACACATGTGTGTATGTGCCTATGCAGTGTACGTGTGTACATACGTGCGTGTGTATATACAGTATACATGTGTACATGTGTTTGTATCCCTTAAAAAATGAGAGGCTGTCCAATTTTACTCATAATAAGAAAAATACAAGTTAAAACCACACCCACCAGACTGGAAAAAGTCTAAAAGGACCACAGCTGTCGGCAGGCTGTGGGGACAGACCACCACGTGCCAGTGGAAACGTCAGCTGGGGAGGCAGGCACAGCCCCACAGCCCCATGTGTGGAAACGCCTCCGAGGGGAAGCACCAAACCGAACCGAACCGAACCGGCAGAAGCTGGCGAGCACCGGCTGTGCCCGACCCGCAGAGGCCAAGTCGCCCAAGGCCACCTCAGGACCGAGCTGGCCCGGAGTCCACAGCAGTGGGACAGGAAGGGAGGACGCGCTGGCTCCACACAGGCCAGGCTGGGGCGTGTGCGGAGGGACCAGACAGCTCATTGTCCCCAAAGGCAGCGATTTGAACATCAAAAATACCAAAATCAAAATGTGAAATCCATAGATGACATACTTTAAGTACATACAAAACAGTGTGAGTTCACGCTGATGCTCCAAAAAAAAAGGAGGAAAGTCCGAGCGCAGGGAGGGGAGGAAGTGGTCGCCTCTCGGAGCCGCCCGCCGCCCTTGGCTGGGCGCTCTGTGGCACGGCAGGGCCAGGCCACCCCCCGGCGGCAGCGGCTCAGATAAGAACTGAGAGGGCTGCCGAGGACTCAGTCAGCACTTTGCACTCTGTCTTCCCGTAAGCGGCCCCTGCAGCCGTCTCCCACTCACTTTTTCCGTGCCCTCGCTCTGCCCCAGTCGCATGTGTCACCAGCCCTGGCTGGGGCAGCACTCCCACCCCCTCCCACGCTGCTCGAGCGGTTGTCCCTGCCTCGCACGGGCAGAGGCTGCGGCTTCAGGAGGGCCTGGGTGTGGCCAGGTCTCAGGGCTCCTGGGCCCATCCCAGGCTATGATGAGAGATCACTGGGACCCCAGCAGGTGGGACCCCAGCAGGCGAGTGGCTGAGACCCCAGCACCACCCCCCAGACTCCTGGGTCTTGCGTCTTCTGCATCCAAGCCCCCAGCCTGAGCCCCTCGTGGATGCTGCCTCAT